CTCGATCCCAGGACGCTGGGATCATGACCTGAGCCGAAGGCAGACGCTTAACCAACTGAGCCACCGAGGTGCCCCTCAGCAGTTATGTTATTAAAGGAGAAAGGGGGAATATATATTGAGGAAACAGGCAGGCTCTGCACACTTTCCTTAAAAGGAAAGACAGAGGTTAAGAGAAATGTTTTGGAATTAGGCACACCTGAATTAAAGATTCAGCTCTGATGATTACTAGTTGTGTGTCCTTGGGTACCTTCCTTAATTTTTCCAAGCCACAGTTTCCTTGGCTTTATATAGGAATTATATTTCCCAGTGTTGTTGTGAGAAGTAAGTTAAATAAGAGAATTTAGGAACTTAGCAGTGTCTGAAACACAGAGCCCATAGGTGGTGATGATGATGATGGCATTAGTCTGTTTTTCACAATTCCATGGTATTCTATTTTCCTCCCTCAAAACATGCCATCTCCTTAAAATTACTTGTTCTGTATATGCCTTTCCTGATAGACTGTAAACATTAGTGAGCAGAGACAATGGCTGTCTTCTTTCCTATCATATCCCTAATCCTGACCCTGGTTTTGCTCATCACAGCAGTCAGTATTTGTTGAATAAATGCATACATGTGATTGAGAGTGGTGTATCTGGGGGAGGATTTGCTATGGGAACACAGAAGAGTGGTACCTAACTCAGCCTGAGAAATCAGGGAAGGATTCCTGGATGAGCATGAGCTGAGTCTTAAAAATAAATAGGAGTTGCTCACATTAAGCATGTGGGATGAAGAGTCAAAGGCTCTGCAAAGAGGGGGAACCTTCTGGGTGAAGGTAGGGAGACACTAACCCTGGAGATGCAATTGGGAAACTTTTAGCAGTTTTAATCCTGGAGTTTAAAGTAGGTACTAGGGGATGAGGGACCATGGAACTGAGAAGTAGGGAGGTCTAAATCAACCCTTTTAAAAAGATACTATTTATTAAGTAACGACTATATATCCTTAAAGTGTCTCTGCTTACTGCCCTTTCAACTGTACCCACCTGAGGTGGTTGCTCTTGGGTTCCCCCTGGGGAATTAATCAGCGTGGTGCAGCGAGGTAGTTTGCATTGAACTTGCCATGGGAGGTGGGCTGCTCTTTATGATTAAATTGCAATTTGTTTTTTCATGTGGTCTCCTCTCTCTCTGAACTGTAAATTCCTTGAGGCCTGGGACTGTTTCTTTGGTGTCTTTTCCTGAGTGGTTGAATCAGCACTTTGCATAAATGTTTCATTCTGTAAAGCATGACAATAGGATACCAGGAGCATGATTACCTCCAATTTATGGTAATACTGTCCTATTTGTGTACATTACTCAACCTTTTTTTTTTTAAAGTTACCATTTATTGAGTGACTGCTATATACCAGATGCCGTAACTACTATGTGCCAGGCTTTAAAGGCATTATTCTTTTTTTTTTTTTTAAGATTCTAGTGATTTGACAGAGAGACACAGTGAGAGAGGGAATACAAGCAGGGGGAGTGGGAGAGGGAGAAGCAGGCTTCCCGCCGAGCAGGGAGCCCAATGCGGGGCTTGATCCCAGGACCCTGAGATCACGACCTGAGCCGAAGGCAGACGCTGAATGACTGAGCCACCCAGGCGACCCTGGCATTATTCCATTTTAAAGTATTATAGTACACTTATCACAATGAGCACTGAGTAATGTTTAGAATTGTTGAATCACTATACTGTATACCTGAAACTAATATTACACTGTATGTTAACTGTATTGGAATTGAAATAAAAAAACTTAATAAAAAAGAAAGTAAAAAAAATAAAAGCATTATTTCATTTTATAATATTATAAATGGTATATTTTATTTAATCCTCAGATATTCTAGTTATTAAAGACCCTGTTTGAGGACTCTAAGACTCAGAGAGATTAAATGACTAGCCTAAATGGCTAGTAATTTCCAGAGCCGACATTTGAACCAAGCGTGGTCAGAATCCATCTGATGTCTATACTATTTCCATTTCATATAAATTACCGTTTCAAGCTTAACAAGAACTTTAGGTGTTAAAGGGGAAGAAACTGACACATAGAGAGGTCATTCAATGTCATTTAGTGACTAAGCAGACAGGCTTTAAGTCCGGCTTTTCTTTGGCTTCCATCTAAGTATAGTGCTTTGTGCAGTACCAGGCTGTGCCTCTTGGTCATCCCAGTCAGGGCCAGGCCTTCTGTCTAGTGATGTCTCTTGAGTGTGCCACATTGAGTTATAAACATAGTCACTTGATTTCTTTGCACCTTATAGCTCGTTATGGACTGTTCGGAGTACCATCACCAAATCATTCAGGTCCTCGGGTGTCAATTTTTAAATTTTCATCACCAGAATTTCTGGAAGTTAAATATGCTGCAGGCATATCTGCCTTTTCACTTGAAGATTAGGATGATACTGTCCTTCCCAATTTTCCCACCCTGGAGAATGCCATCTTAGTGATAGGCAGACATTATCACTTCTGTAGAATCTAGAAGAGAGAGCCTGGGCTTGGGGCCACAGACCCAGCTTCCAGCCATGGCTAGACATAAAGTGGTTACCTTTGCTATTTCCTTACTATTGTGACCATAAACAAGTCACTTCCTCCTTTTGGGTCTCAACTTTCCCCTTGGCTAAAATTAGGGAGGGAAAGAAGGAGAGACTGTATTATCTCTAGGAGCCCTTGCAGTTATAGCAGCCTGTGAGTCTAATCTGACTCCTTTTTCTGGTCTTTCCCAGCAAAGTTTCCCAGTAACCCTGGGCAAGTAATGTGCTTTCAGAGGACCTCAGTTTTCTCTCTGTAAAGTAGGGATAATAATATGGACATTTCTTTACAAAAGTGGTTTAGTAATTTATCCCATGGCCTATTTGGGGGATCATAGTGCAGTCCTACAGGGATCTAAGAATGGCCACCCTGGGCCATCACACACTGAATCCAGGTCAGTCACAGGAGTGCCAAAGTTTGATGGTGGACAGTAGTCCATCGTCCCCGCCACCTTTGTCCTAGCTTCCCTTCGCTTCCTGCCTGACTCTCCTCCATGTGCAGTCAAGGTGGCCTTCCCCAAACACAGCCCTAGTCATGTACATGCTTTGCACAGATATCTTGAATAGCTCCCCATGGTGTTTATAAGGGCATGAACTCAGACGGTGGGGGTAGAAAGGAGGGGACGGGTATGAGAAAGCTTGTACAGGTAAAATTATAGGAACCGGTGACTGATATTATATGCAGTCAAGCTCTTGCTGGCTATGCTGGCCCTGGCTCAGAACTGAAACATAATGTCACAATGGGCTCCTGATAATGTGGGGAGGTCCAGGCATAGCTAGGCTGACATAGAAAAGCAAGTGAGATGCCAAGAGGGATACTGGAATCAGCTTGTTTTGTTTTGTTCCCCTAAAGCGACACCTTTGAAGAGCCTTGGCATTTTCCCTGGTTCTAAAAGCCTCCTAAAGGCTTTAGAGAAGCTCCTCCCTTCTCTGCTGGAAAATTTTAGCAGCTCCCCATTGCATTCCAACGTTAGCATTCTTCACAGCTTTGACTGCAGTGCTAAATGTCTTGATGAGAAATCTGCATTTGGCCACGAGTGTGGTATGCTCTGAAAAAGAGAGAGCCAAGCCCCTGTTCTTTGACAGTTGGTCTCTAGAGGTTGGCTTCTCACTCATAGCAAAGTCTAGGACCCTGGGGTGGCCACCACTGTTAAGAACTTTAGCAATGAGAAACTATAAGAGACTACGTAATAAAAGAGTGGGTAAGATCTTCATCATAAAGATAAGAAATCCAGAAACTATAAAGGCTATAAACAGTTTAACAATGCAGAGGCTACAGTGGAAAAATCCCCTGCATTGGGGGTTAGAAGGTCTGGGTTTTAGTTCCTAGGATCTGTCTTGACTGGCTGTGTCACTCTGGGGGACATGTAAGTCCCTCCTCTAGATGGGAGTTAGGTTAGATTATTTCCAGTTGAGAAACTTTCTTGATCCTTATCTATGTTAGGTTAAATATTTATTTTCCCAGGCCTCATTTTTAACTTTTTACTGCAGCCTGCACAGGTTGATATGTAGTGAAATAATACAAAAGGGTAAAGTAGAAATAATTTGTCTATCTCTCAGTTCTTTTTTTTTTTTTTTTTTTTAAAGGTTTCTTTATTTATTTGAGAGAGAGAGACAATATACAGATTTTCGTTCCAGGTCTAGGCTTGATTTCTACATAATATTATTCACGTGCATTCTCTCTACCTCTCAATTCTTAAAAGGAAGACTAAATAATTGCAGAATTTCTAAGCTAGGAGGGCTGGAAGAGATCTAATGCTGAGTTTCCTTGCAATTGATTTAAGATACTGATGAAAGCTAAGAATTCTTTCAGAAAAGTACGCACGCATGTAAAATTTTGCATATAAATTTTGGGGTTGATAGACCACTTGAAATTCCTCACTGGGTTCTAGATTAAGAATCTGTTATCTAGGGGCACCTGGGTGGCTCAGTCAGTTAAGCGACTGCCTTCGGCTTGGGTCATGATCTCAGGGTCCTGGGATCAAGCCCCACATTGGCCTCCCTGCTCCGCGGGAAGCCTGCTTCTCCCTCTCCCACTCCCCCTGCTTGTGTTCCCTTTCTCGCTGTCTCTCTCTCTGTCAAGTAAATAAATAAAATCTTAAAAAAAAAAAAAAGAATCTGTTATCTAGCATAACCCCACCAATTTGAAGATTGGGAAGGTGAGGGCCAGGGAGGGGGCTGAGTCTCATAACAAGTTAATTGCAGAAGATAGTCACTTGTATTTGTGTTAAAGTAATGCCAGCAATATTCCCTCTCCTTTTGTTGGCTGATGTCACAGCCCAGAATGGCAAGGGAAGCTACCCATTCCTTCCCAGGGGAACTTCAGTTTGAAGGTAAGGTAACCTAAGAGAAAAATGGTAAACAAATTGATTTGAAAGACTGATTTCTTTGATGTCAAGATGGGATGATTAGAATTTTTTTGTAATAACACTTTGATTTATTTTCTTTCTCCTTTTGTTTTCTGTTCAGCCCAAGAAGAAGAAAGGAAAAGTGGAAGTTAGACCCATTAATTTGGGGACAGATTATGAATATGGGATTTTAAACATTCACTTGACTGCATATGACATGGCCGTGGCAGAGAGTTATGCCCAATATGTTCACAACCTCTGCAACCATCTATCCATTAAAGTTGAGGAAAGGTATGAAGGATGCCTTTGCATGGGATGTTCTTGGTGTGAATAGCATGCTCTGCTTTGTCATTGTTGTTAAATGAGGTTTTGAGACATAATTTACATTTAGTAAAATTCACCCTTTTTAGGCATATAGTTTACCACAATCAGAATATAGAACAGTTACACTAACTCCAAAATTTCCCCAGTGCCCAGGTGTAGTCATAATCCCTGGCAACCAACAATTGATTTTCTGTCCTGTTGTTTTAAGTCTCCAGAACATCATGTAAATGGAATCATACAGTGTGTAGCTTTTTGTGTCTGACCTCTTTCACTTAACATAATGTGTTTAAGATTCTTCCATGTTTTTGGAAATATTTTATTGCTGAGTAGTATTCCATTAAGTGATGGACCTTAATTGGCTTATCCATTCAGCAGTTGATATACATCTGCATTGCTTCCAGTTTATTGGTGATTATGAATAAAGCTGTCATAAGCATTCTCATGTATGTTTTGTGGGGCATATATCTTTTCTCCTGGATAGCTACCTAAGCCTGGGATTTGGGGGTTGTATGGTGACTGTATGTTTAACTTTATAAAAAAACTGACATCTGTTTTCCAAAGTGGTTGCACCATTTTGTTTTCCCACCAACAGTGTATGAGAGTTAAAGTAACTCCTTTTCCTGGTCAGCATTTGATATTGTCAGTTTTTTTTCTAAAGTTATTCTAATAGATATACAGTGGTATCTCATAGTTTTTAATTTTCATTTCCCTAGTAAATAATGATTTTGAACATCTTTTCATATGCTTATTTGCCTTCTGTATATCTGCTTTGATGACATGTCCAAGTCTTTTGTCCATTTTTAAAATTGGGTTGTTTGTTTTCTTATTATTGAATTATGAAAATTCTTTTTCTATTTTTGGATACCAGTTTTTTTTTCAGTATGTCTTTTGCAAATATTTTCTCCCTGTCTTTGACTTACCTTGTCATATTCTTAGCTGAGTCCTTTGGAGGGCAGACTTTTTTAAGTTTGATGAAGTTCAGTTTATCAATTTTTTCTTTTATCGTTCATACTTTTGGTGTTCTATCTAAGAAAACTTTGTCTAACTCAAGATCACAAGATATTCTCCTGTGTTTTCTTCTAGAAGTTCTGTAGTTTTAAGTTTTACCTTTAGGTCCATGATCCATTTTTGATTTTGGGGGGGTTTTTTTGTATATGGTGTGAGATATGGGTCAAAGTTCTTTCTTTTCTTTTTTTTCTTCTTATAAATATCCAGTTGTTCCACTTATATTCATTTATTGAGAAGATTTTCTATCTTTATCAAATTGTCTTAGCACTTTTTGAAAGTCAGTTAACCATGTATATGTGGGTCTATTTCTGGACTCTATTCTATTGTGGTGATTCATGTATCAATGCTTATACCATACACCAAGTGTCTTGATTACTATAGCTTGATTCCTGAAACTACAACTTTGTTCGTTTTTTTTTTTTAGCAAAATTATTTTGGCTATTCTAGGTCCTTTGGCTTTCTATAAAAATTTTAGAATTAGTTTGTTGATTTCTACATAAAGAAACCTGATGGAATTTTATTAGGATTATGTTCAGTCTGTAGGTCAGTTTGAAGAGAATTGACATCGATTTTGATTCCCCTGATCCATTAACAAGGCATATCTCCCCATTTATTTAGGGTTTCTTTGCCTGCTCTGCTTTTCATTTACTCTTTGGATTTGCTGGAAAACTGTAGGGGAGGAGAACTAACACTTCCTGGCTAGCTACTCCAGGCCAGGCACTTTATATATCTCAGTGTTTCAGAAACTGTGGGATGCCCTGTAGTTTGCTTTAAATAACATTAAATCACATGGTGAGAAATTTCTTCCCTTTTTAACTCTCATTCAACCTAATTATGTCAAGGAGAAATTCTTTGTGTGGTTGTGGTCATGCCACTCTAGCACTTCCTAATCTTCATAACAGAGAAGGGACCTGAGACTCAGAGTCTTTGGCTCTAGCTAGAATTTTACAACATTATTTTGTTTTCTTTTCATTGTACTTTTTTTTTTTTCTTTAAGTAAGCTCTAGGCCCAACGTGGGGCTTGAACTCATATCCCTGAGATCAAGAGTCGTGTGTTCTACTGACAGCCATCCAGGCACCCCCACTGTACTTTTTAAAAAAAATTTCTCTTGATGGCAGCTGATACTGGTGATATAAAGTCAGGCTTATTGAGATACAATTTACCTTTAGTAAAATTCACCCTTTTAGTGAACAATTTTCTGTGCGTTTTCACAAATGCACACAGTAAATACCATCATACTCAAGATATAGAACTTTACATTATCCCAAGAAGTTCCCTCCTGCCTTTGTAGTTAATCCCTCCCCTACGCCCAGTCCCTCACAAACAGATCTGTTTTCTGTTCCTATAGTTTTGCCTTTTCCAGAACGCGATGTAAGTGGAATTATACAGTATTTTTCCTTTTGAGTCTGGCTTCTTTCACTTGGATAATATATTTGAGACTAATTTCTTTTGTTGCCTGTATCAAGTAGTTTGTTCCTTTTCCTTGCTGATTAGCATTTCATTGAATGGATGTATGTTTGTTTATCTGTTCAATGGTTGAAGGCCATTTGTGTTATTTCCAGTTTTTGGCAGTTATAAATAAAGCCACTATAAACATGTACAGGTTTTTGTGAGAACGTAAGTTTTCATTTCTCTATGTAATTGCTGGGTCAAATGGTAAGTGCAGTGGATTTTTAAATTTATAAGAACCTGCCAAACTGGGCACCTGGGTGGCTCAGTTGGTTAAGCGACTGCCTTCGGCTCAGGTCATGATCCTGGAGTCCTGGGATCGAGTCCCGCATCAGGCTCCCTGCTCAGCGGGGAGCCTGCTTCTCTCCCTCTGACCCTCCCCCCCTCTCATGTGCTCTCTCATTCTCTCTCTCTCAAATAAATAATAAAAAATAAAATCTAAGAACCTGCCAAACTGTTTTCCAAAGTGGCTATATATACCGTTTTCTTTCTCATCAGCAACATGAATTCCAATTGCTCTACAAAAAGTTTTTTTTTAATTAACTTTTTAAGTGAATTGATTTAAAGAAAAATATTTAATAAATAATCATTTGGGTGGTTTGTCATTGTGGCAAGGTAATACATGGCACAGTATGTGAATATGGCAAGATTTATACTTTCTTACTGATTAGGTAGTAGTATGTTCCCATTTTACAGATGAGGAAACCAAGTCTCAGAAAGCCCAAAAGTCACAGAACCAGTAAGTGGCCTAGATTTAACCCATTTCTGCCTGACTCCAGGATTTTTAATTATAGGGGGTCTTATTTTAAGTCCTTAAGTGAAATTTGAACTTTTAAACCTTTATAACTTAGTGTAACTGTGCTAAACATGCTGTCTAGAAGATTGGATAATAAGCTGTGACTTTAGCTCTCACAGCTGATAGTACTTCAATTGTTTTAGGACGAAAGATATGCTTTATCTTTTTGTGATGCCCCAGAGAGTTGGTTGCTCTTTCAGCACTTGACACACACTTCTATCATGTCACTTAGTGCTCTGGGCTATAATAATCTATTCATGTGTCAGCTCCCCTCCCCACTGACTAGTGGGAACTGTGTTCTTTTTTTTTTTTTTTTATTTCTTTAGCATCTAACGCAAGACCTGCCACATGGGGGACATTAAGCCATTGTTGAAAGAATGACAGGCTCTTGAATATGACTGCATGATCCAATTGTGTGGTATACATGGGATGCATTTCCTAAAGTTTAATGAAAGTCCTTTAATTAAAATCAATTAAAAAACTACTGATTGAGCCTTTTCCTGCTATGTGGTAGATATTGTACTAGATAGACATCCTGACTGGAGGAGACTAAGGAGAATGTCCCTGATTTCAGGGAGTGTGTGTGTGTGTATACAGCATAATGTGCAAGGTGGTAAGTGAAGGATAAAGTGCAATGTCAGTTCAAGGAGGCTGAATAGCATTATAATTTAGAGCGATGCTTCCTCAAAGTGCCACTCTGCAAAGATATCAGAAGCTTATGCCAAAATGTACATTAGTGCTTTGCTCCCTTCATCAAAAAAGTCTCACTATTGAAAAAAAATGTCTGCTGAATTAAATAGCATGTTTAGTGACTGTTGCCTGCTTCTTATCTTGTCTCGGACTGGTAACAAGCAGTTTGTTCACCAGCAACTTGTCTATGGACCATACTTTGAGTAACAAATGGTTATGAGTACAGGCTCTGGAATCAAACTGCCTATGTTCAAATTCTAGTTCTACCAGCTAGTGGCAGCATGACCTTGGTAAATTCTGAACCTCAGTTTCCTCATCTATATAATGGGAATGATCATTTTCTTATTCCTTTAAGTTCTGAAAATTAAACAAGATAGTATATGATAGCACTTAGCAGAGAGACTGGAACATTGCAAACGCCCTGTAAATTATATTGTTATTAATAATTAATGAGAAGTTTTTTTGTTTTTGTTTTTGTTTTTAGCTGGCAGGGGTTAGGGGTAGCTTTTGTGGTGGCAAAGAGGCATTAAATGTCATTTACAGAATGTTATCATGCCTCCAGTAGGTCAGCTCCCTGGAATAGTGCTTTGAAGTTTCAAAAGGACTTCTTAAAAGGTGCTGTTTTTTTTGTTTGTTTGTTTTTGTTTTTAAAGATTTTATGTATTTGAGAGAGAGAGACACAGTGAGAGAGGGAACACAAGCAGGGGGAGTGGGAGAGGGAGAAGCAGGCTTCCCACTGACCAGGGAGCCTGATGTGGGGCTTGATCCCAGGACCCTGGGATCATGACCCTAGCCGAAGGCAGACACTTAACGACTGAGCCACCCGGGTGCCCCAATTGTTATTAATATAACAGAAGCTTGCCTATGGTCATACATCTAATAAATGGCAAGGTCTGGATTTGAACTCACTTTTTTTCAAATTCTCAATTCCCCGTAATTGGTTCTCCACACAGCTTTCGGTGTGATCTTTCTAGAATGGAAATACGATCAGGTTACTACCATGCCTTAAAATCCTTCTATGGCTTCCCATTCCTTTAGGATCAGAGTTAAAGTTCCTCACATGGCTTGCTAGGTGCCTGATGGCCTGGGCTTGCTTCTCTTGCCTTAACTCATATTTCCCTTTCCCTCTTCCTCTCCCTCCAGTTAAAGTGGGGCTTATCCCTTTCCACCGCAGGACCTATGCATATGCTTGCTCTCTAAAGCTTAGAATACTCTTTCCCCTTTATGTAACTAACCCCTGCTTTTTTCTTAGGCTTCATATTGGATGTCAGTTCTTCAGAGAACCTCATTAAATTAGGTCTTTATGTTATATATTGAGGAGAAGTAAAGATTATATAATTTCCCTTTCATAGCGCTCATTCCTTGCCCTCGTAATTACTTGACAATTAGTGGCCTTCCTTCTTAGACTCTAAGATCTATAAGGCAAGGACTGTTTCTGTCTTCATTAACAGTTTAACCCTGAGACCTTGCCCAGTACCTGACACATAGTAAGCACTGAATAAATATTCACTGACTTGGATTGAGTTCCAATAGTCATGGACATGATTCCTAGAACAGCAGAATGAATGATGTGCTGCTTTTTGCCTCTTCTCTGCTCTTTGCTCCAAATAGCACAAAGCCTAAAGAGATGTTCATTTTCAGCAACTCACTGCCCTGCATTGATTGAGGTTTTCAGACCATCGTATTGTTAGGCATTCTCGCTGCCCAGCTTTTCAGAGATGAAATGATTTTCTTTTCTTCTGATTTTCATTTCATCATGATCCATTTTTCCTCTGGGAGTGGCAGGGTAGGGCTCTGACCTTGAGATGGAATTGGGCAGGGGAGCGGTGTGCTGGCTTTTGTTCTATAAACGGTCTGCACTGCTGCAGCTGCAACTCACCCAGGAGGGGAGAGGAAGAAGCCTATCCTGCAGGTCTCTTAATTTGCCTGCCTCCCTTGCTGAGCAGCTGCCTGGAGATGGAAATCTTACTCATCTGGGAGCAGCTTCCCAGCCTGAAGCTGATCTAGCCCCTGTGCTTTGTGGAGAATAAAAGCATCGCTCAGCATCACTCTCTGTAAGGCTACTCTTTTTTTTTTTTCCTTTTTCTTGAAGTCCACTTACATTGTTTAAAATGGAGGTATAGGGGTGCCTGGGTGGCTCAGTCGGTTAAGCCTCCCACTCTTGATTTCGGCTCAGATCGTGGTCTGGGGTCGTGATATGGTGCCCTGCATGGGAATCCGTGCTCAGGGCTCAGCCAGGGAGTCTGCTTGAGGCTCTCTCTCACTCTCTCCCTCCCCCTCTCCCTCTGCCCTTCCCGGCCCCCACTCATGCAAATGCATGCTTGGTCTCTGTCTCTCTCTTTCAAAAATAAATAAATCTTTAAAAAAAGTAAAATGGAGGTATGATTTATATTTACTAGCGTCCACAGATTTTAAGTTCCCTAGCACGCCAGCAGTCTCCCTTGTGTCCTGTCCCAGGTAGTACTTCCCGAAGGTAGCATTATTTTGTCATTTTAGATTGACTTTTGACATTGAGTTATTTCATTTCTTCCCTTCTGTTTTTCCTGTCTAATCATCCAAGTAATGTTTATTGCAGAAAATTTGTAAAGTACAGAAAAGTGTAGACACTAAAGAAAATTTACCTATATTCTTAACTACTCAAAGGCCTATTCTACTTTGAAATGAACAGAGTTCCCAGTATTCTTTATCAAACTATGTCTGGCTTTTCTGTTAGCTCTCTTTGAGGGCCTCTCGTGCCTTTGTAGATCTGCTTCACTTTTTGGAATGCTCTCCAGGCAAACACCTATATGTTTATTTTTAACATCTTGATAAGCCTATCCCACCTGTGAAGTCTTCTCTGAGCCCCCTTTCTCTCTCTTGTCCCTGTAATATTCAGTACATGCCTATTATTGCCTTTGTCTTACTGTAGTGAAGATGTTTGTCTCTCCAAAACACTCTTAGCGGACTCCTTTAAAGCACAGGCTGCATATTGCCCACCAGCATGCCTAGGACAGAACAGGCTTTCAGTAAATGTTTGTTGAATGAATGAATGAATGAATGAATGAGTGAGTGAATGAACAAATCAAAGACATCTTGCTAGTAAGTGTTGAAGAATAAAATGCATGCTCAGTGGCACGAATGGACAATTCCCACTTCAGTCAGTCAGTCTTATCTGCAGAATGTCAAGAAAGAAAAATAGCATTTTAGAGTGCTTTTTACTTTCCTGAAAGCTTTACATAGTTATTTTATTTGCTCTTCCATAACAAGTCTGTGAATGTGTCCTTATTTATGTAGGGAAGTTATTACCAAATTTGAATTGGAAGAGGAGGTCAGAGATTGTGCTGGAAAGTGGGAAAGAATGTTACTTAGGGAGGTTACCTGGAAGAGTCTGTAATACCTAGCATTTACTGTTTTTTTTAAAGATTTTATTTATTTGACAGAGAGCAACACAGCAAGAGAGGGAACACAAGCAGGGAGAGTGGGAGGGGGAGAGGCAGGCTTCCTGCGGAGCAGGGAGCCTGATGCGGGGCTCCATCCCAGGACCCTGGGATCATGACCTGAGCCGAAGGCAGACGCTTAACAACTGAGCCACCCAGGCACCCCTAGCATTTACTGTTTGTAAGAGCAAGGGAACTGGCGTTTGTAGGCATATTATGCCAGGCAAATTGCTTATGTAATTTCACTTAATCATTACAACAACCTTATGAACTAGGTATTATTATCCTTATTATCTCCATTTTGTAGCTAAAGAATCTGAGACTCAAAAGCTGAATTAATTTGTCCAGGGTTAAATAGGTATTAAGTGGCAGAGCCAATATTTAAATCCAGGACTGACTGTTGTGTCTCTAGTCCATTTTCCATTATATCCATTATTCATTTCGTAGAGGGCCATGGCCCTTGCTATCATTTGATGAAGCTTTGTGTGACATGAAAATTCAGGAATTCTACTGTTGTTATTTCATTTATCTTCATTTTGGTGAACTTTCTGATAAGACGAACACAGCACTAGTACCCATTTCTGTGTAGCCATCGATCCTATCTCATCACCATGCCTGATCTTCACACGTCTATTGATAGAGACCTAGATTGTAATCCTCTTTATTCTGGAAGAAACTGAGGTCCAGAGAGACAAGTAATTTGCCTTAGTAAATATTGCTAATAAGACACAGGGCTGAGATTTGACCTCAAATCCAGTGTTCTTTTCATGGCTATGAAGCTGATCATAGCAAGCACAGTCTCTACAACAGTATTTCTCAAGCTGGGGACATTTAACAGTGTCTGGAGACAATTTTTTTT